CAATGGGGGTGGGCAGTGGGCACAAGGGGTGAAGGGAGACATATATATGGTGATGGACAAACAAAAATGTACAACCCAAAATTTCACAATGTTAAAAACTATTAAAACATCAATAAAAATAAAGAAATAAATTTTTTTCAAAAAAGGAGGAGGTAAGGGGACTGTCTTCTCTAGACTAGAAGGTATTTATGACATTCAATAACCAAATGAGGCATAAAGGTCTTGTTTAGATCCTGATTAAAACAAAACCAACTACAAAAATTTCTTCCCATTAGGGGAACTTTGAATATGGGCCAGTCATTATATAATACCAATGAATCATTTTTCACTTTTTCAGTTGTGATAATGGCATTGAGATTATGTAAGAAAATGTATACATATATTTTAAAAAACACATTGAAATATATCAGGATAATGGCATGATATCTAGAATTTTCTTTAAATACTTGACCAAGAAAAAATATAGAAAAATATGGATGAAACAAGAGTAGCAAAAACCATGATAATTATTGAATCTGGGTGGAGGTATCTTGGGAGTTCAAGTACCATTATCACAATTTCAGTGTTTGGTTGAAAATTTCTAAAAACAGTCTTAAGTTAGACTGATTCTCTTGTATCATCAATCATTGAGAATGGCTGTCAATTTTACACAAACACTCCTAATTACTTATATTTGGGGAAGTAGGAAGGAGGCAGGAAAATTTGAACCCTATGACCCTATTTCCTTCACTAGAGTTCCACCCCCAGGAATACGGAATTGAGAGAAAAACAGGAAGTACAGAAAAAGAGTGAGAAATAGAGAATGATGATGAGTTTCTATGGGGCTAGCCCTGTAACAGCTGTGTACTGGTGACCATATTCTACTGGTAGGGAGGAGAGAGAGAGCTGATCAAGAAAAAGAATAAACCATACACATAGAGGGCAGACTCAAGAGACAGAGTCCTACTTGGTTTCTCCTTAGGTTTCATTTTCTACATCCAGTGCTTTCTGAGTCCTGGCTACATTCTTACCCTTGGGCTTTTTATTATAGTAACCCCTTCCCCCTTATCACAAGTTGATTTGCATTGGTTTTTGTTACATGATACCAGTGATATGAATACAGCCAATGTAACAAAGTCTATTGTCAAGTCCAGAGAAGTACAGAGTCAAATGTGAATTAAATAGCAAAATGGATTAGAAGTCATGTAGATACCCGATAGTGTGGGGTCAAAGCCAGAAGACGCAGGTTCATCAGTGCCAATAGTGCTGGGGGACTTGTGTTGCTCAGGACTTTTGCTGCATTTGTTTTAAGAAGTGCATTATTGGGGTAGACCAAGTAGAACCTTCCACGTAATTCCTAACACTTATATGGAGGTAAGAGCACTTGGTGTTTTTCTTCTTTTCATTTAATTTCATAAACTATTCAGGGTATGGGCTAAAGGGAGGATTTAACTTTTAAAAAATAGCCAACTGATCATATCAAAACCCTTTGTTAAAGCATATTAGGTTCTTTAAAGTGGGATGTTCATATTTCTGAACAACTTTTTGACTTTAAGAACAGAATCAGAGGCAGATGTCAGGACCAATCAAAAGAAAACAACAAGGGAAGTGGTTCGCAAAAATGATGAGCATGGGAAATAACAGAGATTCATCTTGTGGTTCATGCTGCAGAACAGGACTTCTGCTCTCTTCCACCTTCCTCCTTTGTTGTTGGAATCTTCAGGGCAAACCCGATCAGTCTTGCCAGCATGCGAGCTCCTGCTCAGCCTCTCCTCCTCCTCCTGCTTCTCCAGTACCCAGGTGAGTGGGTCAGAGGCTCCTTCCTGGTAGCCTGACCTTCTGTGGGGCAGAGGGTCCAAATGGGTACTGCCTAGTAAGGCCTTTCCCAGAACTTAGGATCCTCTGTTGGAGAGATTGGGGGACCGGGCTGACAGAAGAGGTTGAGTGACTCTAGGACATGAGAGAGAAAGACTGATTAGAGAGTAAAGAAAAGAAAGAAGGATGAGAAGAAGAGAAGAGTCTAGGGTACATAGTATCACGACATTGTGAATGTCAGAGTTGGAAGGAATCTGAAAGGCTTTACATTTATCTCCATTGTTTTATAAAGGAAACGAAGAGGCTTGGAGAAATGAACAGGTTTCCCCAAAACTGCACATCTAAAGAGAGGCAGGATCAGGACTGTCTTCTAGGGATCCTTATTCCACACATATTTAGAGACACCAGAACTGCAATGATATTGAAACCCGAGCTTCGGAGTGGGGAAGCATTTCATAAAACAGGAAGTCATGAGAGTCTAAATTTAGGGCTAAAGAAAAAGAGGGGTGAGCAGGGCAAGACTGGGCTCTGACTCCCCCTGTGGTCTCCCTTCTGGTCTCCCAGGGCCAACAGCCCTCAGTAGGAACCCAGCTCCTGGGATGGGGAGGAGTGACCCCATAGGAAGGAGAGTTTAGGCATTGCCCACTTCCAGCTTCAGCCCCAGCACCACTACTGACACCTGTTTATGTCCAACATTCGTGTGCGCCCCAACTTGTGAGAGCTATGACTTGGGAGTGAGGGAGGGTGTCAGAGCCAGTTTTTATAGCCACTTCCTTCTATGTTTATAGAGAACACAGTTTCACAAATGAGCTCAACCCCATCGATGGTGACCGGGGTTCTGGGGGAGTCGGTAACTCTTGCCCTGAAGTTTCCTGCAAGAGAGGAGATCGACTCCATCACCTGGCTTCACAACGGAACATCTATCATCTTCATACAGCCAAATGAAGCACGAATCATGGTGACAGCTCCCAAACGGAAAGATAGACTGAAGGTCATCCAGTTCTACTCCTTGCAGCTCAACAACCTGACAATGGCAGATGCAGGATCATACAGTGTCCAGATAGTCACGAGTACCTCTTCCGTGTTTTCCAGTTACACTCTGAGGATCTTCAGTGAGTAAGGGCATACAGGACAGTTCCCTATTTGTAAGGGTGAATAGGGCCATCCACTAAGCATGGGGCTGGGGGCTGGGTGACCCTCTGTAAAGACTGTCCCTTTGTGTCACTCTTGTGATCAGTCTAGAACTTCTCCCTGGTAGATCTTTTTCTTTCTTTTTCTTATTCTTTTTTGTCCTCCTCAGTTACCCGCAGATTCTGGCTCATGGCTATTGTTGTGTCTGGCTGAAAACCATCACACAACTTGCTCCTTCCTGCACTCAGACCCTACAAGGCTGGAAAGGGAAGAATTAGTGATCTTTTCTCCCTAGGTGTCTGGATTCCTTGCTATGTCCTCTCCCTTTTATTCTCTGAGTCCTTTCCTCCTTGGATGGCCTAATAAAGCTTGTTATTGCTGTTTATATCTCTTAAACTATGAAAACCATTGCTTCAAGTAGGGCAGCTGCGAAGGCCTCAGATTGCAGTGGATTCTGTCATCTCTGAGAATGGGACCTGTCATGCCACCTTGAGATGTTCTGTGGAGGAAGGAGGAGAGAATGTCATATACCGGTGGACATCAATGGGACCAGGAGCTATTGTGTCCCAGGAAGGATCCATCCTCAGTGACTCCTGGATCCCTGATGATCTGGATCGGAACTACACCTGCACCGCTATGAACCCTGTTAGCAATAGCACCTCCAGCCTCATCTTTGTTAAGCAGCTTTGTGCAGGTAACTGGCCCCTTCTGGTTTCTCCAAGACTCCTGGGAAATGCTTTGACAAGCTTTAGAAGAAGTTGGAGAGAGTAGATGCCAGCTCTAGGAACTTGACAACAACCCCATCCACTTACACACACATGCTGTGTTCTCTCTTTTCTTTCTCTCTTGCAGGTTCCAAGGCAGTTGTAAGTACTTACTGACCAGTGACATGGATTCTGCTGGGGAAGGGGCTCCTTCTCCTCATGTTCCTGGTGGTTCTAGGAACTTGGCACATCCAGACACATGTGTTCAGCAAACCCCTTATGTCTAACTCAGGGCTATGAAGGCCACCAGTGCCCCAGGAGAGCCTGGATGAGGCCATCACTTCTCTGTGGCTCACTTAAATTACATTACTGACCTGTACTCTTTTCAAGGTGTAGTACTATGGATTGTCAAAGACCAATGGGATAAAATTTCATATCTTGCATTTGTGAGCCTATGTGCCCAATGTGGAAGTTTGGCCAAAAATAGATATGGTAACTGTATCAATGCCATATGTTGTCTATTCTGAGAAGAAATTTCTCCCATAACTTAAGGTTTCTGGAATCAGGATGAGTCATAATATTAATGAGTATAGCTAAAAGGGATAGTGTATTTTTCTCTTGAAATGCTGTTATTAAAATAATACTGTTTTTAAAAATCAATGGTGTCTTAGAATTCTTGAAATACTGTAGCTGTAATACAAGGCAGGTGCCTGAATAGAGGCACATCCACATTAGTGGACTGAAGTTTCTAATGTATGGAGCATTTTAAGTGCACTTTCAAGGATGCTGGTTATTATTGGTGGGAGTACAGGAGTAGTCAGGGCCGTAATAGCCCATTGGCGTAAAATCATACTCATAAATAAGCTACTACTATGGGCTAAGTGCTATAATATGTTGCCTTCCTTAATTATGATCAAAAGTCTATAAAATAAACTCCCTTATATCCATGTGACCAGTGAAGAAGCTGAACCTAAGAGGGTCTAAGTAATTTGCCTCAACTCACAGCACTGTCAGTGATGAAGTCAGATAAGTTAAGTGACTGATGTAGGTGGATTAGTAAGGTAGGTTATAACACTTATAAATATATATGCACCTAAGACAAGAGCACCAAAGTATATAAAATAACAACAGACCTAAAAGGAGAAATTAATAGCAACACAATAATAGTAGGGGACATCACCACGCCACTTGCATCAATGGATAGATCATCCAGACAGAAAGACAACAGGGAAATAGTGGAATTAAGCAAAACAGTAGACCAGATGGACTTAACAGCTACATACAGAACACTCGAGTGAAACTCAGCAGAATACACATTCTTCTCAAGTGCACATGGAACATTCTCAAAGGCAGACCATATGTTGGGAAATAAGGCAAGCCTCTACAAATCTAAGAAGATTGAAATCATATCAAGCATATTTTCCAACCATAATGCTATGAAACTAGAAATCAACTACAAGAAGAAAGCTGGGAAAGTGACAAAGATGTGGACACTAAACAACATGCTACTGAACAACCAATGGGTCAATGAAGAAATCAAAGAAGAAATCCAATAATATCTTCAGACAAATGAAAATGAAAATATACTATGCCAACTCATATGGGATGCAGCAAAAGCAGTCCTAAGAGGGAAATTCATAGCAATACAGACCCACCTCTGCAAAGAAGAAAAATCTCCAATAAGTAATCTTAAACTACTCCTAACAGAACTCAAAAAAGTAGAACAAACAAAGCCCAAAGTCAGAAGAAGGAGGGAAAAAACAAAAATTAGGGCAGAAATAAATGAAATAGAAACCCGAAAAACAGTAGAAAAGTTCAATGACACTAAAAGCTGGTTCTTTGAGAAGATAAACAAAATTGACACACCCTTAGCCAGACTCACTAAGGAAAAAAGAGAGAAGGCTCAAACAAATAAGAAATGAAAGAGGAGAAATACACTGGATACTACAGAAATACAAAAGAGTATGAGAATAGTATGAAAAACTATATGCCAACAAATTGGACAATCTAGAAGGGACAGCACTGATGCCAAGCTTGGAAGTTCCTCCCAAGGCCATGGAGACTGGATGACTCTTATTAAGAGTGGTCCCTCAGTTTCACTGACATGATTGGTGGGTCCAGAATGCTTCCTGGGTAGATGTCTCGTTTCCTCCCCGTGTTACTATCCTAGGGCTGCCATAACAAAGTACCAAAAAGTGGGTGGCTAAAAACAACAGAAATTTATGTTCTCACAGAGGCTAGAAGTCTAAAACCAAGGTGTTGGCAGGGCCATGCTCCCTCTGAAACCTGTAGGAAGGATCCTTTCACTTCTCTTCTAACTTCTGGGGTTTGCCAGAAATCCTTGTTGTTCCTTGGCTTGTAGATACATCACTGCAGTCTCTGCCTCCATCATCCCATTATGTTCCCCTTGTATGTTTTCTCATGGTGTACTCCTGTCTGTATCTCTTCTCATCTTCTTATAAGGACACCCGTCATATTGGATTGAAGACCCATCCTGCTCCAGTGTGACCTCAGGTTAATTAATTACATCTATCATGACCTTATTTCTGTACTAGGTCAAATTCGAAGGTCCCAGGACAGACATGAATATGTGAAGGACAGTATCCAACCCAGCATACTCCCCCATTCCCCTCATCCTCAGCCTCCTTCTTCCTGTTCTAAACCTCTAACTGGTTTATGAGATGAGCTACATCTAAATAAGAACTGCAGAAGTGAACACCAAGGCCCTCAGAGAAACTCCAGAGCAGAGAAAAGATTCATCTCAGTGACCAAAACCCACCAACAGTTCCTGGTGCATGGTTGAATAACCTCAGATGATCTGTTTTTTTTACTGTTTAGTCTCTCATAAGCTGGGATTAGAAGAGTCTCCAGAACTGTTTGGAATCTTTGCTATTTTCTCTTATTCATCCCTAGGTCCTCTTCTCTTAGGATGCCCAGAGAGGACCCTCTTAGCTCTTTTCATTTTTTTAAAAGTATCGCATCCAACGGAGTTGCTAAGAAGACCTCAAGTTACATTGGAGTCCACTGTCTTTGAGAACAGGGTCTGTAATGCTGTCCTAAAGCGTTCCTTGAAGGGCGGAGGAGAGATCATGCATACAGGTGGAGACCAGTGGGACCAGGGGATGATGTGTCCCAGGAAGGGTCTGTCCTCAGTGACTCCTCAGGCTTTGCAACCTGGACCAGTCCAACACCTGCACAGCCTTAAACCCTATGACTAATAACATCTGCTCTCCCTGCCTGGCAGTCTTGAGCAGGTACCTGACCCTTCTGGCATCTCCAGGACCCCTGGGCAATGCTCTGAGAAGGTCTGGAGAGTGCTGAGAGGACACACCCACTCCCAGTGCGCGCACACAGACACACACACACACACACACAATCCACCACATATGTGCTCTGGCCTCTCAAACTCTCCTTTTGTTATAAGTTCCAAGGCACCTGCAGGTACTTATTGCCCAATGAAGTGGATTCTCCTGGGAAAAGTGCTTCTACTCCTTGTGATCCTGGATATCTATAAATTTGGTACATCTAGGCATGGTGCTGTTTTAAAATACAGAGTATTAATAGAAAATTTGAGGATCAGTAAGGCCCACAGATCAGGAGATGATTGCCATTGAAACAACAGTTTATTACTCACAGTTCCCAATAGGAGAGGGCAATAAGGAAACCCTGAGGTAGGATGCAGGCACAAGAGCAGAGAGAGAGGGGAGGACTGCAGGCCAGAGCCTTAATTGTGGCTCCTCCGGGAAGGAACAGGTAGGGCAAGGTAAGCAGGTTTGGGATTGGCTAGTTTGAATAATTTCAGTGGGCTCTGGGGCATAGGGCTGTCCCTAGTTGTCCGGCACCTGGCCTTGGGTGATTAGGGCTGGTGGATAGTGGCCTGGAGGAGTGTGAGATAATGCAGCTGTTAGGAGTATGGGCTCTGGATTGGTTAGTTTACGTTTGAAAGTGGGGTGACTGTTTAGTCTCTCTAAGGATTGGCTATCCCCAGGAGGGGCAGTCCCTCCAGAGTCAGCAAGGTCCCAGATGTCACAGCATCAGTATGCAGAAAATAAAAAGATATGGTTAATACAGGTGCTTATTAAACCTGTTTGACTAACCCGGGGATCTGAGCGATCAGTATGGTTAGTCCTAAGAGGTTTTCTGGACATGAAAATGGACATGAGGCCATTGCTTTAATTAAGTTAATTCATATCCAATTAATATCCACCGAAATGTGCTAATGGCAGAGGTCTAATATAAAATGTTCTTTTACTTGGGGACTTCAGGGACAATGGAGATGCCTCAATGGCTGACATAGGAGTAACTCCAGTGGTGTATAAAGCAGCTTGCAGAGGCCTCCTCCCCAGCACTTGAAATTTAGGTAAAATTCCCTCAATTCCCCAAGTCCATGCCCTGGGGAAACTTCTACAATGTTTCTGTAAATTCCTAGGGACTTACTTTTTCCTGACCTTCTCTGCCTCCAAGTTCCGGGCGCCATGTTCTCTCCTAGCACTGCCCCTGTGGACACAGAAAGCAATACCGCAACACATATTCTCATGCCATTCCCTGCCCAAATCAAAGTTCACTCATAAGAAAAGATTGGTGAGCAAAGCAGAATTTCCTGAAGATTTTGCAGAGGAGGTAGAGAAGGACAGGTTTGCATTGCACACGCCATAACAAATAACTTAGAAATCCATTTAGACCTTCTGATTCCCCAGAGTGCCTTTTTAGCCAACCGGTCTCCCAGGAACTCTCTTTGACCACCCACCTTTTCCACAGGCAGAGTCTTGTCACATCCCCCTTGTACACAGTGATATGCAAATTAATCAAGCAAACAAACAAAAGCACAAAATGAAAGGAGGCCAGAACACCCAAAAAAGATTACATTGTTGAATTCTATTTGAAACGTAGTGAGGTTACATTTAATGAGATTTTGCGTAGTGCAAATTAAAAAGTGTGGCAGGAATGACTAAATATTCTCTAAAACTTCTATCAGTGCAAACGCCCCTAC